CAACATTATATAGACATATATACTAATTATAAAACACAATATATTTTTTTAATGTTACTTAGCATATAAAAACACCCCATTTAACAATCTTGCACAAATTAGATATAATACATTTCATACTATTATAAAAACACATTTATATAAACTCATTTATAAAACAACTATATAACATATATCACCCCATACATGTATTTATCAAAAAATTTTAAACTTTGAGCATAATATACATGCAAACTTATATGCAATCTTTTAACAACTATAAAACAACATTTATTAGCATCAATTATTTTTAATGTAACAAAGAATGCAGACTACAATGTACAACATTGTTAATAAAAATGAAGTTATATCAGTCAGTATATATTAATCTAAAGCAATGAAAAAGAAGAAACCATTTAAGAACAAAATTAAAAATTTCTAATAAATACATATTTAGATACCTTAAAATGAAGCATAACACAACACTCTTTTGACAAATTCCAGAAGAAATTTTCTTAATTTTTTTATTCCTTATTATTTTTCCTTAGAGAATATATATATGTAGATATAGAGAAATATAAAATAGACTGAAATAAATCAAAAACCTTAATTTATGTATGAGAAAATAACTTGAACTTACTAAAAAAGCAATCAGCTCCTCTTAACTGCTCTAAAAAATAAAACAAATACTGCTTAAAATGTTTTAAAAAGACTAACGACAAAACTGTTTTCTTAAAAAAGAAACATTGTACTAAAAAAACTATTTTACCAGTCAATTTAGTTCTAACTTATTCTAAAAAATGAAAAATAAATACATATTTAGATACCTTAAAATGAAGAATAACACAACACCCTTTTGACAAATTCCAGAAGAAATTTTTTTTATTTTTCTATTCTCAATTATTTTTGCTAAGAGAAAATACATATAGATATACATATATATATACATAGCAAACTAACAATTATTTAAATTTTTATTTTAAAAAACAAACAACATTAATTCTTCTTGAAAATAAATGTATCAGCTCCAATTTGATTGCTGATTTTACTCGAATGACCGCATGGAATATATAACTGCGCTTAGAAAATTCTAGAGGCAAAGAAATAGTATATTTTACATAATGCAGAACCGTAATTAACAAAACGAACAATAGGCGTAACAATGCGTAACTATGCGCACTATTAATATTCATAGGCTATTCATTATAGGCGGATTACAATAATAAACAAAAAAAAAAAAAATAGATCAATGAAAATTTATAGTAAAACTTAACAACTAAAATTTCATGCAAATATGTTACAAAATTGACACTTTATTAGCATGTTTTTACAATGAGAAGTTTATTTTGAGTTTGAAAATTATTATAACCATTATATAAAATTTAATTAAAAAAAAAAATTACTGCTTGTTGTTAACCTAAATAATAAAAGTAATATATTTCTTAAATATTTTGGCTTTTAAAAATATAAAGAAATATAAAGAAAAATATAAAGAAAGGCACAGTTAAAAACAAAAAAATATTTTAGATATCAAGCCTTCCCAGGAGACGCATGCGATTTTCTGCTTTGTTTGTCCGTGAAAAAGATATTTAGACGACTTGGTCACAATCGTTTGCAAGTTTATATATTATATATGTTTCAAAAAAAATATAATCCAAAAAATTTCAGCTTGGTTGACCAATATGTTCAAAAGTTATGATTGAATTAAAAATGACCAAAATCCGAAAAAATTGTGTATCAGGAGCTTGCAGCAGTTTTTTTTGATTTTTGACAAACCATAACTTTTTAAATAAAGATGGTGATGACCTGAAACTTTGTAGGGTAACAGTTTTTCACCCAAATAATCCATTGTTGCAGTTGTTTTTGACTGATTTTTTCTTACAGTTTTTGAGCTATTGTACCTTAAAGTTGCTAAATATTGCAACATAAATATTTTTTTGAACTTTAACGTGTTACAGTTTAATACTTACTTACAGAAAGTGGATTTTTTTGTTACCTTTGTGTACTTAGGGTCACCACTTGTTAGAATAATCAAAATTATGCATTAAAAATTAATTTCGCATATGCAGCAGCCTATTAAAAATCACTTTTTTAAAAAATAATGATAAATTACATCAATTTTGCTGGCATAGAAAGTAGCGTAAACAGTTAAAATAAATTATGAAACTTTTTAATGTTGAGGTTCTATATATAGACAATCACCAAAAAAAATTTAAAGACCTATACTCTATCTTATGACATGATTGCAGCCTTTTGAGAGTGATGATATTTTCAAAAGGAGAACAAAAAATACTACTTACCACATACAAAATTTATACCTCAAATTTTATACAAACTATACAGTAAAAAAGTGCATTCAAAGAGTAAGATAATCAGTTGAAAGAAAAAGTATGTATACATGTAACTAATTAGCTTATCTCTGATTTATATAACTCATAAAACTGTCATAGTCATTACCAGCAAGAATATAGTTATGAGTAATTATACTTTTAATCAATGGAAAACTTATTTGACATATTATCTTGTCAAATGGAACACAACACTGACTTGATTGTGCATCGTTTGTCCATTTTAAATTTAATTTGTTTCTTTGCATAAACTTCACATTGGCGTTTTGGTTTTCTTTACAAATATCAGCCACAAGCCCTATGTACCATTCTTCATCGTAAAAGCATGCAATATATTTACTGGGTTGAAAATTTGAAGGATTTTTTTTTAATCAAATTAACATCATTTAACACATGAGTATCATAGACAGTATCACTAGAGATTCTTTGTAAAAATAATTTCTCTCCATCTGGTACAAATAGTGATAGCTTCTTGTTCCCGGAACTGTGCGCATCTTTTCATATCGTTTCTGAAGGTTAAAAGTTGTTTCGTGGTTATTGATATCATCATTTGAAAGATATAATATGCTAACACCTTTGATGTTTTTTTGAGTCTATGTAAACAGATCTTGTGGTGTGAGAATCTGATTTGTAATTGCTGTTCGTAGACTAGCTTTTGCTGCTTCTCTTTTTATAGTACTTCCTATTCCATCACATGGACTTTTCCCATGTGACGTAGTAAAGAAGTGATGCTCAGCATTTATTTGGTGATCTATAATGTGATAAATTAAGTTTATTAGACATTCGTAGTTTTTATACTGCGACACAGCACCATCACTGAAGTATTTACTATTATTTACTGCGGGTAGTTTGATTTGGACCATACTTTGATTGTAGTTTTGTGGGTAGTTTGATTTGTGAGAAAACAATGGACTGCTGATTGGTCATGACAAAGATGGTCAGAAATTAAACAATAGCATTCACATTTAAGGTGATCTTTGTAATAAACAGCAAATGTGTATAAAGTAGCTTGATCGGCTTGCCAGTAAAACCCTTGTATAGCATCTTGTACAAGTAAACTATAGTTCTCTGCAAAATCCATCAGAATAATGCAGGTATATTGGTCTAATATTTGTTTTGCCTCTGATAAGTAGGAAGACTGTGCTTCTTTGGTAAAGTGGTGGTTACAAAGGTCATACAAAGCTTCACTTAAAGTTTCAATAAATTCACTAATGCTTGTTTGAACTGTAATAAGTACAGTTCGGTCAGTTGACACCCATTGTTTATATGTGATCTGATCATCAAAATCAAAATCATTCTTTTCAAACACATTTTCCAAGTAAGTCTTCAAATTTCTTTTACCAGGGCAGTTGGAATATAGATGAAACATGCAATTTCGACTATCTATATTACAAACTCATAATTTCATTAAATCTTTGTAATATATTAAAAGGCTGTTAGGAAGAGCAGAGCACATCAACTTAGCATTTTGATGGTAAGAACATTCACAAACCGAGTGGCTTCCACTACTATCAACAGTAAGGCACCACTTTGGCCTTAATTCACAGAACTTGCTGAATCCAACTTTGTGTTCAGGGTATAACTTCTTTAATTCCAAATGAAGTTCTTTTAAACAAACTATATATTTAGCGTTTTTGTTTATGAACTTTAACATAATTTATACGCACAGAAACAAAGTCTTTTTTTCCTGGACATTCGTCAGATGTCCAGGAAAAAAAGGCTTTGTATTCATCAGTAATCATGTAATGTGAGTGTTCATGATCAATAAAAAGTTTAGAAAACAATCAAGCATTTTTTTGTATTTTTTTTGTATTTTTTTTTTTTTTTTTTTTTTTTTTTTTGCCTGATGATGTACGATATTGATAATTTGGGACACAAGTCTAGGAGTCTAACAAAAAATTTAAGGAAATTTAGTAATAAATAATAAATAAAAGTATTTATACAAAAATAATAATTGTTTTTATATCTTTAATCTTACACATGACTATTTTTTTATTAAAAAAAAGTCATGTGTAAAAATTTATATGAAAAGGAAATTAAACATCAGTGCTTATTTTTAAATATAAATCTTGAATATTTTTACAGGAATTCATGATTTTTTTATTATGATTCTTATTATGCAGAGTGTATATATTTGAGATATAGATTGAGATATAGTGCATCAACCCTCGGAATTAGGGTTGGCATTCAGCAATGCCGACCTAACTGCCAACCTAAACATGTTTGTGGTCGGAAAAAAAAATTCGGTTTTGCCAACCTCGTTTCGATGTTTTATGGTAAGACTTTTGCATTTGCCGACCTGATGCCGACCTCTAAAAGATTGCGGTCGGCAAATTATTGCCAACCTCAATTTTCCTAATTCCGAGGTTTGGTGCATATTTTAGATATTCTTAGTTATTTTTATAATTTTTCCAGTGTTACAGATAATGAAAGTTGTTATTTTCCAACACTTTTATGTATGGACCAATATAAAGCTCAAAGCAGGCTAAGTATAGACTCTATAAGTTTATCATTAAAATAAGCAAGTCAATATGGTTAGTTAGTACATGTAACAAACAAATATTTAGTTTTTACTTTAAAGATTCATTCCCAATCATTTTCCCACATGTCTGTGCTATTTTTTCTTCTGAAAGAAATTAAAAATGTAATATAATTAAAAGTTATTTTATTTAGGATTTACCGCTTGAGGTAGATAAGTCGAAAAAATCCAAGCAATCAAATGAACTGTTTGAGAGTTTTAATTATCAAACGCGAAGTATGAGACATCAAGAAAGGTGATTTTTTTTTTTTTTTACTTAATGACTTATTTTTGGTTTTTTATATAATAGAGAAATAATAGTGTATGCTATAACACTACCATGCTGTAATGGTGTAGTGTAGTGATGTACTACTACACAATACCATTCTTTAACAAAGTTAAAGAATGGTATTGAAGTATGGTATTAAGGTTCAACAAAGTTAAAGTATGGTATTGAGGTTCTATATTTCTTGGACATACCACTGCGACAGATTTTCTAAGGAGAATAAATAAATTCCAGTTTACCTAGTTCAGATATATCTAAACAAGTACGACTATTAATGGATGGTACTAATGTTAACTGAAAAGTTCTCAGGAAATGCAATTGGAAAGAGAAGCTTGTTTGAGTAAACTAATAAACATGGGCAGTTGTAACCGCCACATCATTTACAGAGCTTTCTAAACAGCTACAAAAACTAAATTTTGGGGGGATAAAGGCTGTCGTGAAAGGGTCTTCATTTTTTTTAGGATTTTCCTGCTTTCTATGCAATTTTATCCAACAAAGTTTGTGATTGTCTTAACCTTCTAACTTTTTATTTTGCAGTTTAAGTCTTAAAAGTTGATATAAATTAGAGAACACAGTTTCAATTAATTTTTCCATAACACTTATATTTATGTGTAAATCTTATAAATGTCTTTCACAGTATTTATACCATTTTAGATGAATCAAGAATCAACAGGTGGCATCACAATTCAAAGAGTTATGGCAAAAACTACCTGCTTTTCAAACAAAAGACCATCATCAAACATCTATTTGGCTATAAAAAAAGTTAAAGATGAACTACTTGTAATAAAACTATTTTTCTGCTATATTGCAAACCTTTTGCAGCCATAGAAAATATCAAATAGATAATCTGATGATGTCTTTTCTGGGCAAAGACCTGAAGATAAGTTTAACTGATAAAGAGAATTATCAGTTAAATCAGTTTTAAAAATCAACTCGGCATAGATGCTGAGTTGATTGCTGAAAATGATATAACTGTTTATATTTATAAGTTTGGTATCCTCAATACTACTGGTCAAATTATGAAGCAAGATGAAACAACTTTTGACTCATCTAGTATTATGAAAATTATTAATTATTGCGACTTGAGCAGAGAAAGTTTTCCCACAATTCTCAGATCTGTTGGCAGTATTATCTCAAAGTTTCAAAAAGGTGAAATCTTTCAAAAAGGTGAAAGCTAGATGAATTCTTTTTTTTTTATAAGCTCTCTATCAATATACCTAAGAAGTTAAAATCTGTTCTAACATTGGTACAAGTCATGGTCAAGCAAGTTTTTGATTTTAAAAAGACTACAACCAAAGTTAATTTTGTAAAAAAAATCAATTGCAAAAGAATAACCTAATAAACAATAGACAACCTGACCTTCAACATAGAACTAACAAACAAGTTTATAAAAATTGTGAAAGGTGCACACCAAAGATATAAGCTAAATCTTTATAAAAAGAAAAAGAATGCTTAGAAAAATAAACGCAATCATCAGTTAGAAATTTTAACAAGAGAAATCAGTGATGTAGTAAAAATTTCTTACAAGATTTTATGCAACAATTTAGATATTGAGTTTATTAATACCATAAAAGAAGCAGAAGAAAATGTTATGGGATAAGTAATTAAATGTTATGGGATAAGTAAATAAAGGAAATGCTTTAAAAAGGAAGGGAAAAGGTCTTGAAAAGAAATTACTGAATCTACAAAGGTTCAAAAGCAATTAAGAAGATCATGCAAATCAACATATAGTCAGGATAAAAAGCTTGTGAAACTAAGCAACAAAAACCCCCATTTGACACCTATTTAAATGAACAAATGTTTAAATGACACCTATTTAAATGAACAAACATTTTTATGGAATGATAAACAAGTTTACACTTTTCATGTCCAGTAGGTACAAAATATGATCCTAAATCTGAACTGCTTACCATAAAACATGGAGGAGGTAATGTAATGATTTTGGGATGTTTCAGATGGGATGGTGTTTATCCGCTCCATAGATATACCGGAACTATTGATCAAGAAATATACAAAGACATAATTAGGAGCACTGTATTACCTCATGCAAAGTTTTGGGTTGGGACAACTATTACTTTTTTCATTATTGTTTGTTTTTTTCTTTCTTTTTCAAATAAAATTGTCAGATTTTAAATAAAGTTGTCCTAATAAAATATAAGTCAGCAAAAACAGTTGGCAAATGTATATCTGTATACGCTATAGTAGATATATATATATTTCATATATGTGAATACTGTTATCATACTTGGGCTGGTTCCTCTGATGATGTTTTTTTTCTTCTAGACAAGGTTTAAAAATGTATTTTTTTATATAGTTAGACTTACATTAGCTGCCAAAATTGAAACTTCTTCATAAGGTAGGATCTCTTTAGATTTTTCATTTGGCAAAGTTGCCTTTTTTAACTGCATCAATCTTATACTTTGAAAATTAATTTTTTTTTCTTTGCATATCAATGCTTTAGAATGCTCTCCCAATCTTTTATTTTCCTGACTCAATTTACAATTTTTTAAGTCTTCTACCCACCGTTTTCTTGCTCTATAACAATATGCTTTGTTATAGAGTTTCTTGGTAACTCCTAAAATCTTTGTTTTCAGGTAACTCCCAATTACTTAAATAGTGGTTGCTTGCAGCCTTTTTGGAAGTAAATTAGTTTTAAAATATATAATAACAATGGGTTGATTTCAAAACATACCTTTTCACAATGGTTGCCAAAATCTAGCCAAGAACTAATGGTCTTAACTGTACTAAAACTTTAAAAATGGTAGAGTTTCCTTTAACACTGTAACTGGGCTTGGATGATAAAGTGTATTTATTAAATTAAGAATTAATAATTAATACATTTATATATTAATTACTTTTAAAAAATAAGCTGTTTAACTCTTAAGAAAAAAAGCCTTTTAACTCCAGAGCTACTGCAAATGCTAGTGTTTCTGAACAAGAATCTGTCTTTTCATAACCTTAAGTACTTTAGAATGGTACTCATGCAACACCTTTGCAACATCCTCATGCAACACCTTTATCTTTTTATATAATTGTAATAAATAAAAGTTTATAAAAAAACTGAGTAAATAATTTTGATTCATATTAGAACCCCTTTTATTCAACATATAAAGGCAATATATATATATATATATATATATATATATATATATATATATATATATATATATATATATTTCAACCTTTGAGGGTTGTATATATATATATATATATATTTATATATATTTATATTTATATATATATTTATATATATTTATATATAATAAAAAAATAAATTTCTTTGTAAATAAAGATATTTTGTGTAAATAAAAAAATAACATTCTGTATAAATAAAAAAAAACATTCTGTGTAAATAAAAATAGCATTCTATGTATCAGTTTTTATTACTACTATATATTTATTATTATATATATATTATTTATGTGTTTCCACTTTTAAAGTCAGAATGACTAATAGGTTCATATTCCATATTTGCTAAATTCACGCTCCATAAGTATTAACTTCACTCTCAATAAGTACCTTTGATTACAGGTAAATTTTACTTTTTAAAAATGTTAATCAAGATATGTCTCAAATATTTAAATTTAAGGGGAAATAGTAAGTGACCCCCGGCCCCGGCTAAAAATGAGACTTTTTGCAAATCCAGTACCAGCAAAATTATAAGATTTAGCAGGGGTTGATAGCCGGGGCTAGAAATAAATTTATAACTCTTTACATATTATAATTTTATACTTACATTTACTATTTATTAAATTATGGCATATATTTATGCTAGTATCTAATAAATAGGGACAGTTACAGTAAAAGGATGCAATTTATTGAAGAAGCCAAGCAAAAATGAGTATTGGTTTATTGTAATAGGGATGAGGTATCTCTATTACAATAAACCAGTTTTAAGCATTAACCATGATTAGAGAAACAGCATAAAAGAGGATTCAAAGCCTGATGATGTCATCATCATCAGCAGCAGCAGATGATGATGATAATGATGATGATGATGACAATAATGATGATAATGATGATAGCAATGATGATGATGATGATGATGATGATGATGATGATGATGATGATGATGATGATGATGATGATGATGATGATGATGATGATGATGATGATGATGACAATAATGATGATAATGATGATAGCGATGATGATGATGATGATGATGATGATGATGATGATGATGATGATGATGATGATGATGATGATGATGATGATGATGATGACAATTATGATGACCATGATCATGATGATGACCATGATGATCATTTTGATCATAATGATGTTTATAAACACATATATACAAAATAAAACATAAATTTTGAAAGAAAAAAAAAGTATTTTAGGATGCATAAATGCAGCCCCGGTCACAAACCCGGCCTTGGCTGTATTTATTAAACCCAGCCCCGTTCAAATATCAACCCCAGTCATTTACTAAGGGGAAATAAATAGAAGAAGGCAATTTACCAGTGACTTCTATTTTTTTGATATTTTGTTTGAGCTGTTTGAATACTAAAAAGACCCCAGAGTTTCACACATTGCTAAATGTGAAGTCACATTTAGCAATGTGTGAGCTCAGTCCACCAATATTTTTCTACTTTACAAGGCATATGAAAACTAAACATACATAAATGGGATACAATTTTGGATATAATTTTTTAAAACAGCATGTTCTAAAAGTTCTGCTGTCTCAGGATTTAACTCATTTAGCCTGATCACTTTGATTGTTATTATGAAGTTTTAATTTTTTTATGGCATTTGGCATAATGTAAAAAGTCAAAATAGCATTTTGAAAGATAATGTGATTTTGGGATTAGTTTTTAAGTGGTATATTGTTGTATGACTTTAAAGTATTTTTTTTTTGGTTCACCATATAAAACATATATTTCACTATTTTGTTCTGAATTTTTTTTTTTAATATTATATTAAAAAATGCATTATAACAATGGTAATGATAAAAATGTAAAAAAATATATTAGTTTGTATTTAAAGGTTTCAAAGCCATTTTTCAATTAAACTCTTCAAATACAAATCTGATTTCAAAAAACATTAAATTCTGAAAATGTTTTAAGAAATGAATTAATTCTTTTTAATATTGTTTAGATCATTAGATCGAGTTGGAATGTCCCGTCGCTCTTTGAAACATGTTCCTGCTTTAAGTTTTTCTTCACATGGAAGTAAGATTGTTAGAAGAAGTGACAGAAGAACTAAAAGAGTCTTTGCAACATTTAATGAACAAGACATATATCGATCAATTGAGAAAAAAAACCAAGAAATGATGGTTAATATTTTTTTTGCAATTAAATAAAGCATATATAAAATATTTTTAAAAAATATTTTAGTAATGAAATATTAATAAAGTATTATTTTAGAGCTTAAGTTAACATTCAAAAAAGCATTAGTAAAAAACCTTGTTGTATTTATTTTAAAATGGCCTGATTTTAAAAAGTGTTTGTTTTAATATAATTTAAAATGTTAATTTTTTAAACATTTTTAATAATAATTTTTAAACATTATCAACATATAATCAATTTTACCCACTAATGGATTTTCTTAGCTAAGATATTGACCCAAATTTACTATGATCTCGGTTAATGATCTGGGTTAATGATCACGGTTAATGTCTTAATTTATAATTTTCTGAAAAGTTTATTTTAGGTGCAACCCTTATGAAGCTCAACAGACAGAAATGATAAAAGTTAACATAATAAATTGTTATTTAGCAAAAACATAAATATAACTATAAACATAAAAATAAATCTAAAAATGTTTATTAAATGTTAATTTATAAAATATTAATCTTTGAAGACAATTTTGTTTTAAGGATCGAGCAAGTATGTATGATGTTATTAAACGTAGGAGAGGGGAATCAGATACACAAGATGATGAAGATGGCTCTGATGATGAAGCAGAAGATAGTGATGGGGATGATGAAGAGGATGAAGCTGAATCTCAGCCAACATATTGTTTGAGAAAGAAAAAACCAAAAACTAATAAATACCAAGCTCCACCAATAAGTAAGTTTATCTATAATGTTTCTAAACATTAAAAAATTGTGGTAGACATGATAATGAGAAAATTATTTGAGAAAGTATAGTTATATTATTTAATAAAAAAAATCAATTTTTACATTTTAACACATTTTGCTTTATCCCTGTTTTACATTTCCTTTTTTGTTTGTTTGTTTGTTTTTTAATAAAAAAGTTTGCATAAATTATAAAGAGAATTTAATGATACTAATTGTTTCTAATAACTGTAACTTTAGGTACTCTTTCTTTAAACTTTTAGGTTCTCTTTCTTTAAACCTTTAGGTACTCTTTATTAAACATGGATTTAGCATACCATTAAGCAATAAACTCTGACTCTAACCAATGGCTAGGTTAGAGGAAGAGTTTATTGAAGCTATTATTTTTGTTTATAGTTAGAATCTGAATATTAATTTTATTATTAAAAAGGTAACCATTATTTTTTCACATGATGAATTCAAATTAAATGATGCCATCAAGCAAAATTAATTGATTTTTTATTGGAAAGCAATTAAGAATATTGTACAATAACATGCAGAAATAATGCAATAATGTTTTATTTCTCTCAATAATGTTCAATTTCTCTCTAACTGATTATTGCTTTGCCATCTTGTTATAATTGCAATTATGGTTAACTTTTTAAAATTTGCAACTTTTTAATTATCGTAATAACTATTTAATTGCTTTAAACCACAAACATTAAAAAATTCAGTGTGTTACCCATGAAACAAAAAAAGTCCTTATGCAAATTACTGACCAGTTGATAAGTTGTAAGAATTTGTTTGCTGTTGGTTTTGATTTTGTTTTGCTTTGTTAGCTATAAAGTGACAGAATCAAAGAAAAAATTTTCGTTTATACACAATTAAATGGGAGAAAAGAACTCTGCTCCCTTTGGAATGATAGAACTGGAGAAAAAATGTGAAACTAGTTTAAGCTGAGGATGAACCTATTGTTACTATAGTCACCAATTCTTAAGACTTCATAGAAAAAGTTTCAAGAAAGTATTTGACAGTTCCACTTATGCTTATGAGTTTGTAATGGACACAATTTGTTTGTAATGGACATAATAATTTGTTTGTAATAGACACAATAATTTGTGTCTATTTATACACAATAATTATTATTTATAATATTATAATATTAATATTTATACACAATAATTTGTGGCTATAATTTGTAATAGAATTTGAATTTATCATTTATGCTTATGAATTTGCTTGTAATGGACACAATAATTTGTGTTAATCATCAAAAGTAAATGTTCTTTTGCATGGAAATTAAGAATCTAAAAAAATTCTGAATTTACATGTTTTTTAAAAGAAAATGTTTTTGTTAGACTTCAATTAATTAGAAATACCTTGACAAAGGTTTACCTACTTAATTGACAAAGACTTCAATTAAGTAGACACATTGTTACAAAGTTAATTGACAAAGACTTTAAATAAGTACACATACCTTGCTTATATATATATATATATATATATATATATATATATATATATATATATATATATATATATATATATATATATATATATATATATATATATATATATATATATATATATATATATATATATTGCATTATGTAATTCTTTACATACTTTAAATAATTGTGTGTTTTTTTAATTTGTTTTTTATTAAATTTTTGTTACATTGATTTTATTTTTTCTATTAATTTATTTGTATTGTTTTTTATTTTTATTTTTTTATTTTTTTATTTATTTTTACTTTTTTATAATTTTTTTTAATTTTTGTTTTTTTGTTCTGACATTTTTTTTTTGCTGCAAAATTGTTTTATTAATATTGAAATAATATAATTTTACAAATTGTTATTTTGTTCAAGTTAAATAAAGTATTTAGTAAGTATTAAATGACCTTTGTTTGAAATAGTTGCTTTATACTTTTTTTATGATAATCTTTGGGTATATGTTAAAGTAAAATGTTTTATATATTTTAACTTTTTTATGTATACATGAAAATAATATTTAAGATAGTGGTCGCTCGCGTAGAGAAATTTTATATACTGGTTCACATTCTCCTTTAAAAAGTTGTCGTATCAAAAGAATACCACAGCATTCTACTTCACCTCATCATCATCACAGAAGAAGTTCTTCAACTTCCTCATCAGGTTTATTTTTAAAAAATTATTTTCAATATTTCAATTATTATTTTAAAGTTAAATTTTACTATAAATTATTATATAGTAATTTATAAAAGTTTATTGATCGGGCAAAAAAAAAACAAAGTAAAACAAGATAAATGTAACAGAATGTAGTAAAAAATACATTAAATGTTGGTCATTGAATGTACACTTGTTATATATATTCACACTCATATACTTATATATGTGTGTGTGCGCTGAGGTCTTCGTAAGTCTATTGCACACTGTCCTTTTCTATACTTTTTCCTTATATATATCCTAGCTTTCCAGACCCATAAAATAGGGATTTTTACTAAACCTACCATTTCTACATTTATCTATTCCTCACCTATCATTTTTGAACCTATTCTGTGTTACCTTTTCCGCATAAGTAGAGCTTATAAGAGATTTATAAGTACGTTTGTTTTTATCCTTGACGCATATCCTTGATAGCTCAGTGGCTTAGTGCGCTGTCAGCAGTGTTGTTTTGGGGGGTATAAGACCTTCCCTTTGTGTAATAAATTTTGAAATTTTTTAAAAATTGCTTATATATTTATAGCAAAATAATAATAATATAGCAAAAAAGTTTTTTAATTAATAAAATAAAATTCAAAAGTTTTCTCATTTTGTAGATTTATTATACACGATTGTTCCATACACTGCCTGCAAACTCAATGTATGCTAAAGACCTTTATACTTACAGACATTTGTACTTAACGGTATTCAAATAGCAGAACTATGATCTTAGACCATTAAAAACCATAGACTATAAAATCCTAGTGTAAATGTTAGGTCAGAAAAATTTTGCGCAGTGATGTCAGTTTGTGGCAAAAAAAACTTTTATACGTCAAGTTTGCTTTTGCATTTATCTTACATTTTTTGATTAATTTTAAATATGGTGCATACAATTGCACAAAAAAGTATACACCTGGTACAAATATATTATTTCACGGATAAAAGCTCGTATTTATTACAATAGTAATAAATAAATAGTTTTGAAGAAATAGTATAGTAATTATTCTAATTTTTTTCATCAGAATATATGCCATAAAAATATATTGTATATATTTTTAATGAAAAGAGTTTTCTTAAAAAATTTAAAATCTTATTTTTAAATTTTTAAGTAAAAGTAAATCTTTAAAATTTGATAAAGTTTTTAATTATTTACATAACTTGAAGTTAGAATGTTAGATATTAGCATAGATTTTCGTTCACATCGATAAAATATGAATCATTACAGATTGTGGTTTCAAAATAATGTCTAATAGCTTTGTAAAATAAAAGATATTTTTATTTACATATTTATTAACAAAAAATTACAATTTTCAATAGTTTTCAATTCTATTCAAGCCTATATTTAACAAACATGTCATCTGATTAATCTAAAAAAAGTGATCTAATTAAAAAAGGGGAAAATACACTACATGCACTAACTGGAAATCCATTTATTTATACATTATAACAAAACAAAAAATATAAAGAAAAGTTTTATTTACAAAAAAATTTATCTACATCTGCATCATCATCTAATAATTGGTAGATTACCAACTACAAAAATACTAATTATAGATGTAGCTTATTATTTTTGCACTGCTCCCTTTTCTCATATTGTACATTCTACAGAATCCACACTTCCTATTAAAAAAATAGAGAGGGTTAAATTTGGGCTTACCCCTTTTGTATCTTATGTGAGATGTGAGCCTTTTATTTGTTCTGCAATATGCTGAAACAGCATTTTAATATTTATTTAAAATAAAAAAAAATTATATGATAAAAGAATTAAAAACATTACATATCAACACTGCAAACCAATTTACCTGTTGCTGATGTGTTTTTTTGCTGATGTTTTATTTTTTCTAGACCATTTTGAAAAATAGTCAAAATGTGAAAAAAAAGGCATTAATAACAAACTTAATAGCAAAGACTGTTACACGAAATAACAAAGACTGTTACACGAAATAACAAAGACTGTTACACGAAATAACAAAGACTGTTACACGAAATAACAAAGACTGTTACACGAAATAACAAAAGCATAAAAGCTATCAGTGCAAACAAATTTTGTAATTTGACCAAAAAATAAAATTATTCTTACCTTGATTGTGACTAACTTTTTTTTAAAATTAGGTAATGATCAACAGTAAATTTTAAACAATTAAAGTTAAAACCATATTTTAACAGTAGACAAAGTAAATTGATGATAGTAGAACACCAAAGTAGAACTAAAGAAATAAAACTTATACCATCATGAGATAACAAAGATAAAAATTTAAAAAAAAAAAAACATTAAAAAAAAAAAAAATAATGGACACATCGATAAAAGTACATACACAGTGAAAATTTGTTAACATTGTAAGTACTTATTAGATACCTCCTAATTTAGTGATTGTTGCTGATTATTATGAAAATTACTGAATATTTGTTAATAATTTTCATGAAGTATTTACAAAATCTTAACTGAAAATAAAATATTATTTTGACATGAGTCATAAACACCGTCACAGCAGCAAATTGTTATAATATTTTGCATGTTCTGCTAAAATTTTGATGGTGTTTATTGTAGAAACTGAAGCTATATCTTTTCAAAAAAATTTCTTTATAAACATAGCTTATTATTAAAAAAAAAAAATGAAACAAATAGGTAGTTTTTTTTACAAATTTATTTATTTACAAACAAAATTTAGCAAAAAAAATATACATATTAAACTAAAAACCTTCAACTATATCTTTTATTTGTAGATGTTGTTAAGTATTTTTCCCTGCCACTTTACTTTCAGTAAAGGTAATCCCTTCTCCTTTTATGAAATAAAGGAAATCTTTTACCCTATTATGGGCCCACACCCTGTGTGCACTCTAAGATATGGGATTTTATAAACATATCAATAGCGTACAAACGCTTCATAAAATTAACCTAAAAAAAAAAAAGTAACAATCGATATAGTTGAATGATATTTAAGTTTCAAACTTAACTATAAAACCTGTAAATCATTGTAAATTTATTTGCCAGTCACAGATTAGGGTGTTGCAGCTACTATTGTTGTTGGGATTGCTACAACTTTATTGGCTATAATAAATATCAAAAAAGTATAGTTAATCAAATTGAAAATTAAAATTTGTAATATATCTCATAAAGTAGAATAATACAATCATAATTGAAAATATTAAATTTTTTCTTAATCAATTTTAAAGATAAAGATAAATTAGAAATTAAAACCAACAATATGTGATGAGCTGTGGTACTATAACAAACAAAATATTGTTATTCCATTTTAAACATTTTGTACAAAATGTTGAAAACTAAAAAAAAGCAAATGTAAATTCTTAAGAAGTAAATTAAAAAGATTCTTTATAAGTAAATTTAACTTTATAAAATCTAGCTATCACCATCAGACTAACACTGTACTAAAAATTTGATTCATATAAAACATGATTAAATATTCAGCTCAAATTATTTAAAACCAATAAAAAATAAAAAACAACTTATATTTAAATAAGGTAATCTTTAACTTCTATAAAATTAAGTCTGTCAATATACAATTTTAATACATCACCTACAAAATAGAACATGTTTAATTAAAAAATTAAACTTTAGAAACTTTAAAAACAGATTAAAAAATTAAAAAAAGGATACTATTTATAAATAAAATTATATAAGTATATTAAGTAATTATATTATTTATGATAGCAATAATATAAAATTTAAAGATATTTTAGAAGTTTATAAAATATTAATAATTTTGTACAATGCCTCGTGCATTTTCAGTTGATTTTGTCCGAGTTGACTCGGACAATATCAACTGATAATTGACTTCCAATATTATACTGCGTATAATACTATTTTGATAATTTTCTAAATTCTGTCATTATTGCGCACTTGGTTTAGAATGTTCAACATGATAAAATTGCTGTAAATCTCTAAATTTCCATATTACTTTAATATTAAATAATTTTATTTTTTTATTATTTTTAAAAATAATAAATTTAATAAAATAATTTATTTTAAATCAAAAGTTAGAATTTTGAATTGTTTTTATTAAAAACATACTTTTTAAACTCTTTAACCTTTTTTTACTTTTTTGAAATCCCACAATCTGTTATTTATATAAGGCTGATTATAAAATATTTTTCTAAACTATTATTTTTTGCAAAATAAAACTTAATAATATAAACAAAGACATTGTAAGAGTTATATTACTTCAAGCATAAATTCAACCAAAAAAAAATAATAATAGAGTTGTTTTTTTTTTTTTTTTTTATTTGCATTCACTCCCAACAAGGCTGCAAGAAACCACTATTAAGTTGGGAGTTACTAGGAAAAAAAAAGAACAGAGTTAAAGAGCAAGGAAACGGTTGACAGAAGACTTGAAAAGTTGAAGGTTGTATGAGTCAGGAAAACATGAAGATGGGAGAGAGTTCCAAAGGATTGAAATGCATGGAAAAAAACTAGATGAATAAAAGTTTTTATAGCATGCAGGGACAGATACAGTAAACGAATGAGACTTAGCTGAATGACAAGTAAAACGAGAATGAATTTTAGTTGATGGAACTAGAGATGATAACTCCTTTGAGCAGTGACCATGATAGTATTTGTAGAAAAGAGAAAGAGATACAACTTTACGACAATGGGAAAGAGGCTCAAGCTTAGCAGATAGTCCAGGTCCAACAACATTTACAATGCGTTTTTGGACCTTGTCAAGAAGAGAAAGTGAATTGTTAGAAGAACCAGCCCAAATATGACAACAGTATTCCATACAGGGACGATTAAGAGATTTGTAGAGGTAGAGAATGGAATCAGAAGTAAGGAAATGGCGAGCACGATAAAGAGAAGCAACCTTATCAGAAGCTAATTTAGCAATGGATTGTATATATGGTTTCCATGAAAGGTCAGTAGTAAGCAATAATCCAAGAAGACGTAAAGAGGAGGACTCAATAAGAGGATTGCCATTCATTAATATAGGAATGTTGACCATATTACGGTACTTGTTTGC